CTTTTCATTAAAGCTATTAGTATACTAGCTATGTCTTTAAGTATTGCACTCACCGCTGCTTGAACTCAGAGTAGATGATTCTGTTGGGGAATCCCTTACGGCAAATACGGATACCCTCAAGCACACCGTTACATTGCAGCTGGTGCAACACAAGGTAGGAGTCGATCTCACCTGCACGAAATGAAACACATCTTGATCAAGACGACAAACAGCAACAACAGAGGAACAAACCTGGTTAATACTTCTCTGACGAACTCAATGAGACTCGTCAGGATCAACATCATCATCATCGTCACAATCATGATCATCTACATCATCATAATCATCACAACTGGATAATTGAATTAATTGTAATAGTGTTTTGCTTGTAAAACTAAGCTTGAAAGGTGTTTCAAGACACGTACCTGGCTGCTTGAACTCGTTGGGGATGATACAACGCACAAAGTGAGGATGTGTGCTGTACAAGTTCTTCATCAGTTTGTTCAGAGATTCCTGAAAGATCGAGGGCAAAATTAATTATTCACTGGAACTATTTCTCAGAGATCTGTAAGCAGATTATGTGCGATTGGTCATAAAAGGAACATTTTGTTTTAAGGAGAAAGGGTTACTTAACTTTCAATTTAAAAAAAAAAATTGTATCCACTAATCGTTTGGAAATACAGCAAATCAAAACTTCCCAAATAATAGGATTATATTATGTGTATGTATGCTTGTATGTATGCATGTATGTATGTATACAAGCACATAGAATTTACATGTATAATATCTCTGTGTGTGTGCTTGTGTATGAGTGAGAAAGAGTGTGTTTCTGTGTGCATATAACATACTATAGTGAAAATATTACATAAACATTTATACACAAATATGTAATCGAAGAAATAGTTGAGGGGGCAATGAACACTGAAAACTACAAACTGGGTTAAAACACGGTGAATGCAAAGGTAGGACAAGCTGTAGGTAAAACACTGTTTCCCGGGCATCTGCTACGAAGACAATCACAGAAATACTGAGGTAGGAAACGGGAGGATTAGTGGAGAGGGGGATGGTTTTGTCATGAAAAGCGAAGGGTAAGGAAACGATGGATAAGCAAAGGGGCTGTCGTAAGATCAAAATATTAAAGAAATATAATCTGTACAATGTTTGATCTAATCCTTTCTTTGGGGGGGGGGGGGACACGCCATGCCTTCGTTTCAAATGAAACAGATATCTACTCTAAAGATACATTTTTCTAACAATTGTCATAGATACTGACAAGGACTGTGAACACGGGTCGTGTCTACCTTACTTGCTCAGCAAAATGTATTTGGATGTTTTTCTGAACATTTCTAAACCGTAAGGTGTTACTTCATTTAAATATCGTGAAGCTCACATACATTAATTTTGTAAATGACAGCTGGGTGTGAAAAGTAGGTAATTTTTCTATGCTAAAAAAAATAAAAGCATGCCGATATTTCCTAAATAAAGTACTGTTACTATTGGGCATAGAATCTAAGATTGGGAACTAAGGGACTTCTAGCTATATAAACTGAGGTGTAAATCTCACATCATGCAGGAAAGGGGGAGAGAGAGAGTTAATTTTTTTTTCTAAAACAGCTAAGATCAACGCTAACAAATACATTTAAAAGTATTGAAAAGTAACATAAGGGTAGGGAAAGTTGCAGGGCACGTTGAGGGTGGGTTGTCAGGACTCGTTAGATGGGTTTGGTGGTCACGCCGGCTTGCTATTGTTTTGGGGTTGTTTTTTTTTCTAGTTCAAAGATAGGTCCACACAGCATAACACTCTTCACAAAGGGTAGAGGGTTCCAGTCCAGGCTATGGTTCATGTCATGCTACGGCACGGATACCTTGTGCACAGAGGAAATGGTCTGGAAAGCAGATGACTTCTTCTTCTTAGAGCCACCACCAGCGGGCTCTACAAATAATGAAGAACAATACAAGTTTATTGACAAAATAAAATAAAGCCATGAGGGGGACTGTGGTATTTCCCATTTTGGGATGAGCAAGAAGATAGGAAAGATAGAGCTTGAGATATGGTTTCCTCTCCGGACTTCAAATCTGGAAAAAAAGATTGTTGATTTAGGAATGCAATATAATGTCGTGATGCCTGGCGGAGTTCTGGTGCATACTGCAGAAAAAGTGGCCAGATATGGGAATGCTTTGAAGCTGAACGCTGATGTCTGTTTCTACTATTTCTAAACTTTTCAATTTCTCCTTTTCTAACGCGTTGCTTCTGAAATCTGCCAAGCACCTTTTGACTACAAAGAGCGAAGATAAAACCTACATCTAATGCTGAAGCTCCACTGTGATAAAAACCAAGGGAGTCTTCCACTAGAAAACTCAAAAGATATTTCTGAACTTAGGATTGATTTCCTATAGTCTGCAATTTTACGCCTGGACTGATTTTTGTTTCAAAACAATTGCCATGAGCTCCAGAGAAAAGATGTCGATTTTCCCTTCTTCGTTATTCGAAATTGATTTGGAAATGATGTAAAAGTTTACGCCTTGCCTGACCTTGTGCATGTTAGAAACAGTTTGGAAATTGCCTCCCTTTTTCCTTTGTCCCGCTTTGGGCTGACCATCCTCTTGTGGGAATAAGACAATGCATAAAGAAAGAGACGTTTAACATCTGTCAAGAACAGGCTACCATGTACAAAAGAGAAAACGTTTTCCTTCATTACGCTCTCAACAACGATCGCATTTTATTGAAGGACCGTAATCATAGTACATAACGATAATTATATATTATGACCACCACCATTGCGAGCATTATTACTGGGTTCAGAATAGAGGTTAATTGGTATTGCTACATTTTAACAATGATATCATAAATACATAATTAGATTCCACCATTATTTCTATGTCATTAAATCATGTTTGTTAGTGACATTGGCATTGAACTTCATATTATGAATTTCACAAGGAAGTAAAAGTACACCTTCTTCTTCTTCCAACTCCTCCACCCCCCACCCCCCCCCCCCCTATTCCACCCTCCTCCTTATTCTCCTCCTCCTAATTCTTCGCCATCTCCTTACCTTAAATTGTCATTGTACGAAAGTAAGTAGCATTATTAAGATATCTCCATATTATGAATAGGCCAAGTGCCATTAGACGTAAAAAGAAAGAAGGAAAAAAGAAAGAAAGAAAGAAAAAGAAGAAAGAAAGAAAGTAACCTTTTTAAAGAAAGAAAGAAAAGAAAAGAAGAAAGAAAAAGAGAAGAAAGAAAGAAAGAAAAGAAAAAAGAAGAAAGAAAGCAAGCAAGAAAGAAAAATAGAAAGAAAGAAAGAGAGAAAACGACTCTCAAACTAAAAAGTGTTGTATCTAAATCTAATGAACACCTACCCTCGGGAGCGGCGAACAGGATGGTCACAAGAGGCTCCTTGGAGTGGCTGAGCAATTCAACCACGGTCTCGTTCAGTGGATCCTTGTTCTTCTCCAGCCAGCCGGTGATGTTGTAGGGCACCTAGATGTGAGGAACCAATACATTTGGTCAGGTGTTGTTGGAGTTGGAGTTGGAGTTGGAGTTGGAGTCTGAATTATGTTGAAAGCTTTTAAAGTAACAAACATTATTTCCTTAAAGACATAATATGTGAGTATGTGAGGGAAACATTTGTGTGTGTATGTACAGTGTGTGTGTGTGTGTGTGTGTGTGTGTGTGTGTGTGTGTGTGTGTGTGTGTGTGTGCAATAGATTTACTTTTGAATGTATATATGTATATCTTATGTAGATCTCCATCCTACATCTGAATGTGTGTGTGGGAGGGGGGTGGGGTGGATAAGAAACTAAATGCTTTATTCCCACCCTCACCCCATGTCCACTCCCAACCCCCATCCCCTACTCCCAATGAACACAATGTCCATCAAATACAATTAATTTGATTCTAACGGACAAGTCAGCGTTTGTTTAATACTCACGCTGCCAGCGTAGTGGTGAAGCTCGAAGTGAGCCTCGACCTGTCCAGCCTTCTTGGGCTTTCCAGCCTTGCCGTAGTTCTTGGACTTGCCCAGATGGTTGCCGTTGAGCTTGTCCAGGAAAGTCTTGTCGCTGGCCTTGGGGAACATGCACTCTTCCTCAAGGATGGACAAGATACCCATGGGCTGTGGATGCAGGTTGAGTTGAGTTGATGTTCGAGCTGAGATTTCACATTAATTGCATTTTTTTTAAAGGAAGGGTAAAAAAAAACAGGCCTATAAATTAATACTTACCATCATCAATACGAGCAATCCTGTCATTGTTTTCAGAGGAATTTAAAGTGTGGTGACAAGTGTGTGTGCGCGTATATATAGTTATGATGCCGCACCAACTTTTTCTTTGTGGAGAAAAACAAAATCACTTTTTACTCAAACAAAAGAAAAAAATGACGTTTTCGGCAGTGCTGATGTTAAGTTCAGCGCTATTACTATTTCCCGACTAATCCCAATCTAGTTATGTAGACAGGTTTCATAATTTGACCAATGGTCATCCGTTCCTACTCACCTTCTCAATCAGATCGATGGCGGCCTGCAAGTCCATACCGAAGTCAATGAACTCCCAGTCAATTCCTTCCTTCTTGTATTCCTCCTGCTCGAGGATGAACATGTGATGGTTGAAGAACTGCTGCAGACGCTCGTTGGTGTAGTTGATGCAAAGCTGCTCGAAGCTGTTGAACTGTTGTCGGGAGAAAAAAATGAGGATAAAATTCAATGATGGGAAAGGCATTGGTGACGAATGGTGTGCGTGTTGGGGTTTTTCTTTCAACTTTTTTCTCATGCGAAGTAGGAACTGAAAATTGTCAACAGTCTATAAGAACAAGAGGATGCGTGATCTTGTCAGAAAATGCGTTTGCTGTTCGTTTAAAAAGTTGTAAGGAAGTGTTTTTCCCTTGGCTAAATAAAGGGCGATCTATACATCCAAAGAAAAAATATATATCCTGAAACATGAAAAATACTCAGGATATTACGAAAAATACATCCTTCGTTTAACAATTCTTGAACAGTACGATTTAAGACAAAGGTCCTGCAAACACATGGTAATTCAAAATAATTGACAACTCACGTCGAAGATCTCGAAACCAGCAATATCGAGCACACCAATGAAGAACTGTCTCTTGTTCTTGGTGTCCAGAGTCTTGTTGACACGCAAGACCAACCACTTGAACATACGGTCGTACAGAGACTTGGCCAGGGCAGCCACGGAGTAGTTGACCTGTGAGCAGAGAGATTGTGATGGTTGTAAAGCAAATAGGACAAATGACATGCCGTAGAGCATGAATATGCACTTTAGAAATGCAATCATTATAATCATCATTATCATGTATTAAGAGAAAACGAAATGTTTTGTTGTTTGTTGTCTTGGGGGGGGGGAGGGGGCGGCAACTGACTATATCCAAATAATGAAAACAATTCTATATGAGTAATGACACAATTCGAAATAACATTATTACAGTCCGTTTTTATGCTCAACGTTTTGGAAAGTATTTTCTTTAAAGCAGCATATTTATAGAATTGCCAAAATGCCTTATCATTCTAAGAAGGATTATACTATTTTATACAGCGAGTTTGTCTGTGGTCAATGCAAATGTTGTGTGGGCAAACATCACAAATGCTCAAGTTAAAAACCGCCGTATTTCTTTATGTCTCTATGTCATTGATGTTACCAAATATCACTATCCTTTTGGTCAATTACAAAAGTAAAATATCACATCGTGGGCTATGTTTGAAGCCACATTTCTCACCTGGTTCAAGTTACGTCCCTGGGTGACGTACTCGGCGCCGACCTTGATCTTGGGCTTGAGCAGACCCTTCAGGAGATCTCCGGCGTTGATGCCCAGCAGGAAAGCAACCTTTTCAGCCTCTGTTCACAGGAACGGAACGGAAATAAATATATGAGGGTTTTTTGGTCTTTATTGTACTACTTGAGGCATAGTAAACGCAATGACTCACTCGAGAAAGATATTCATGAAGCAAAGGGTGAAGGCAGAAGAGAAAGGGGGAGACATAGTGGAAAATGGGAACAGAACATAGAAACCTACCTTGGAATCAAAATAATACAGGCAAGCAGAATGGCAAAAGACAATATATTTTATTGCAGAAAGGTCTCAGACGCAACATCCAACTTCTGAAAGAAGAAGAAGGAATCGAAGAAGAAGAAGAACACACACGTATACACACACACACACACACACACACACACACACACACACACACACACACACACACACACACACACACACCCTCTGTCCTTCATCCCCCCCCTCTCTCTCTCTCTCTCTCTCTCTCTCTCTCTCTCTCTCTCTCTCTCTCTCTCTCTCTCTCCTTCTCTCACTCTCTGTACTCACCAGCTGTTCCGTCAGCCTCAGCCTGCTCCTCTCTGGGTCTCTGCTTGAACCTCATCTCACCGAAGTGCATGATAGCAGCAGTGCATTTGTACAGGGAGTTCTTCTCCTCGCTGGTGAAGCCCAGAACGTCGAAGGCCTCCTGCAAGTCGCCAAGACAACAGAAGAGTGTGTTTTACTGAATGTACAAGCTGAATAGATCACTTGGAACATTCAAAAGGTATCAAAAGGTATTATGTTGGTCAGCTGCTCAGATGTACGAAGCCTACAATTTTGATGTTTTGGAATGTGTAGGTACAGGAAAAAAATCCGTTTTATTTTCTCTCTCTTCAAAAGTTTGTTTCCTGAGCATGGAACATAAGAACACCTAACTGACAATTCTCTTTAAAAGAAACATTTTTCTTTCAACCATTTCTTGGAACAGAGCATTTAAGTAAACTGGGACAACGAGCAAAATTATCCAAACCAAAACTGAAAAAAACAACCACATACACATTTTCAAAGTTTCAAACTGCCTTTATACAAATCTCTTTACAACATCTCAAAGAGAAAAAGCGACAGAAGTCATTCCCCGACAACTACTTTCAGTACCCTAAGCCGTCTGATAAAAGTACATTCTAAAACAAAATAATAATATTTCATAGAGGAAACAAACATGTTCGTTTTACGGTTGGGGGATTCCCTTAACTTGAACTGTAAGTGACTTACGTCGGTGAGTTTCATTTCCTCGGTATCGTCGATTCCGTCGACGATCAGGGAGCCCTGGTTGATGTACCCGTAAAGGGCGGGGTCGGGGCTGGCCAGCAGGGTCTCTGTTGGAGTGTTGGAAGGGGGTGACAGAGTAAGGGCAGGGCAGAGGGGAAGGAATGAAGGAGGAAAGAGAGTTATAAAAACGGCCCATCTCTCTCTCTCTCTCTCTCTCTCTCTCTCTCTCTCTCTCTCTCTCTCCCGTTCTCCCTCTCTTTCTTGATCTCTAAGTCTCTATCTATTGGTCTCTATTATCTTATCTTATCATTTCTATCTTTTCTTATCTAACCTAATGATCTTACCATATTTTATCCTGTGTTTATCTTGTCATCTTACATTATCTGTCCTGATCTTTTCTGATCTGATCCAATAAGAGTTAATCTTTTCTTATCCCAGTGATTATCTCATCTTATCTTCTCTATCTTTTCTTATCTACCCTAATCTAATCTAATCTAATCTAGTCGTATCTAAATCAATCTAATCGTATCCTACCTCTATCTTTTCTTATCTAACCTATTCTAATCTAGTCATATTTAAACTAATCTGATCGTATCCAACCTCTATCTTTTCGTATCTAACCTAAACTAATCCAATCATATCTAAACTACTCTGATCGTATTTTATTTCTATTTTTTCTTATATATCTAACCTAATCTAAATAAATCATATTCTAATATAATCTGATGGTATCCTATCATCGTCTCTAAGTTTCCCCTCACGTACCGTGCAGGGATGGAAGAGCGGGTGAGAGCAGCTGGTAGAAGATGTGGTAGTTACGCTCGGCGGGCTGCTGGAAAGTCACACGGGATTTCTCAAGCAGATCTGAGAAAGAAGAATCCGAACCAGTTTATTAAAGACCTTTCTAAACCTTACCAGGCTGTGTTTGTTATAACATATCGATCAGGGAGCTTCTGATTTTTTGGGACCACTTCAAAGGGGAAAAATCTCGTGAGATTCGATATTAATCACTTGGCTGCTGTTTCGGGAGGGTGTGTGTGTGGGGGGGGGGGGGGGGTTGGGGGGGGGGAATTATAAATGAGATCGAGCTGAGAGAGGAATTTAATCGGCTGTAATGGATGGATTTTTTCAAAATTGTAGTGAAGATGTGTTTGTATGATTAAGTATACATTTGTTCAGAAGAGCTTTTCAACAATATACTTTCGTCTTTTAGATATTTAAGATTTTATCGTATCGATTACAAACATGAATTCATTTTCCTGAAAAGGAAGAGAAAAATTTTTTTTTTTAACAAACAAGCAAACAAGCAAACAAAATAATAAACAAACAAAAATATCCAAACTTACATGTCTCAATATCAGCACCGGCGATCTTTCCTTGGGTTCCGAAGTGGATACGGATGAATTTACCCTGTGGATGAGTGACTCGTGCTTTCAAACCCATACATTACACATTCTTTGACCTCAATAAGGTTCAAAGATGCGAGAAAATTTATCAATTTTTCCGTTCACCCCCCCCCCCCCTCCCCCCACCACAAAAAGAAAAGAAATATGTTCTTTTGTGAATTTTTAAAAATCTATATGAGCATGGAAATATATGTTGGTGACAAAAGAAAAGGTATATAAAACATTACAAAATGATTTTGTTTGCATAAAATACCACTACCTTTTGTTATATTTGTTTCAACTGTCCTGAATTAAGACCCATAATAATTATAGTGCACTTCAATACAAATGGTAATACAAATATTCTTTTTCAGAATGTCAAATCGTAAATGACATAAATGGAAAGAACTGACGACAAAGCCGTTGGTACTTACAAATCTAGAGGAGTTGTTATTTCTAATGGTCTTGGCATTACCATAGGCTTCCAGTACAGGGTTAGCCTGAATAATTTGGTCCTCCAGGGAACCCTGTTATGTCATGTAGGAGGCACATGGGAGTGGAGTCAGCACACAGGGTTGGTAGGGTGGGGTGTACACACGAAGGAAATTGGGTTCGAACATGAAGGGGTAAAATTGGGGAATGTGGTAAAAAAAAAAAGTAGGTGGTGGAAAGGATCGGGGGCGGGAGGGAAAAGAAACAAAAGTATTAACAACCTGTTGATAATATTCTAAGTGGTGGGTTCTGTGTCAGGTTAGCGCTAGATTGAAGTGACTGGAGAAAAAAAAAGATCAGTAAAATCTGATCTCTCGTAATGTAAGACGTCTCTGTTTGTTCGTTATTTTTCTTTTTTTTCCCATTCACTTCAACAACAACAACAAAAAAGAAATAGAACAAGTTAGTGGGTAAAAATAAAATATAACCCGTTCGTGAACGGGGGATGGATGTGAATGTTAAAGGAAGGATGGTGGTAGTATGGTAAAGGGAAACACACATCGTGAGAATGGAAAATAGTATTGTGTTGCGGGTTTGGATTTGGGTCGGAGGTGAAGGTGGAAGGGATGAGGTATTGAGGATAAAAGGGGAATAATAAAGGAGGTGGGAAGGGTATGAGTGGTAAAAGGTCTAGTGGGATGTTAGGAATGGTGAGGATTCTATCTAATTCGTTGGAGTGGAGGGCTTGAACTGTGGTCGGTGACGACTGGTTGGCTGCCATCTTCGGTTGCACGTTTGATTAGACATTTTTTTTCGCCTTGCGTTTCACTCATCAGGATCAGAACTTACGTCGGAGTATCAGAGGAAAAGGTTAGGTATTAGAGGCACACGGGGTGAAAGGAAGGACTAGAGTTTTGACACGTTTGCGTTGTCCGACACAATATTATTGACGTTTCTATCTACACGTCTTTAATTTGGGTTTCAAGCTGGGTTGATATGTTCGTACGAAGGAGGGTAAGGTGAGGAAGGGGTCTGAACGGAAGGGAATCACTCGTGGAGAATCTCGTGAAGATTCTTGTTCATAATCACTCGCAAAGGAAGTGACATTATCTACCGTTACTGGAAATGGTTAAATAAGAACTCGGGTGAAGGTGGGAACGGTACAGTTCAGGTTGGTTGGTGGGTAGAGTTTAGGTTGGTGGGTAGGCGGGTTGGTGGTTATGGTAGAATTTGGGTTGGAGGGTGCGTACAAAAAAGGGAAAAAATGTGTTCCGTCTCTGATACGGTTCACAGAGACAATACGAGGGGAAGGAACATTCAAAACGGGGTAGGATTTCGTAGCCAGACAAAGACTTTTCCTCAAGTCTGGTTCGGTGTTGTGTTTTTTTCACCGCTGTTAGGTACTCACGAATCTGGAGGAGTTGTTATTACGGGTGGTTTTAGCGTTGCCGTAAGCTTCCATTACAGGGTTGGCCTGTACAATTTGGTCTTCTAATGAACCCTGTCACACGAGGTGGTGTGAAGGGAGGGCAGCAACATTGGGGAAGCAAACAGAGTAGAACATGAGGGATGGTGGCGTGTGTGCTCGGTGGGTGGGTTGGTTGGGGGGGGGGTGCTTGGGGGACGCGGACTGCGCAGGACTTGGGGTAGGAAAGACATTGGGAACGGTTGTGGAGAGGTGGAAAGGGTGACTTGGTTCATGGATCACAAAGGGATGATGGAGTTTCATATATAGGATTGCCAGGCGTGAACATGTTAGTGTCCTTGCTTGACAGAGCCGTCAGTGACGAACTAATAATCGAGATGGGGAAATAAACAACAGGCATGAGAAAGGAAATAAGGGTTGAGGTGTTAGTGAAAAAATCGACAAGTGAACTCAATCGACAGGCGAAAAGAGAGAAAGGCTTTGTGGATTGTCTTAGCCCGAAAAGCTTCGCTTCCAGACAAAATAAAAATGTATGAAGCGGAGCGAAATTTTAGGAGTTCAGAATATTCGGCCAGCGAAAAGGTGACGGTGATGAAAAAAGCTTTTGAGTCCGTATGGCATTGAAGATTTGGTTTTCCCTTTAAACTGTGCTGGCATGTTGATTTCGCTTTGAAAGGCAACATTGGCAACTTTCAAGCACCTTGGTGAGAAAAAAACTTTTCTGATGGGGCGTCAACAAGGAATAGCTAGCAGCTCTCTTCAAGAAAAGCTGACTTGAATGAAAAGAGACTTCAAGAAAAGTCAAGTTCAAGAGACCATATAAAAGTTTCACTCCTTGAAAATGACGTTCTACGTAAAAAGAAGACGAAAGCGTACTCCTTTTTTTCTCCAAATGAATCACTTTTGGTTCGAACTCAGATCAACATGGGGTTTTTGTATGAGTAGGTTTGGGAGGGGAGGGGAGGATGGGTATAAGGTGAGGGCAAAGGATCATGTGGTGTGAGGATATGGGGAAGAAATTGTTAAGGAAGTACGTGATCTACCAGGACGCGGGGAGAAGGATTTGGGGAGGATTGGAGGGGTTGGATTGGGGGGGGTTCATAATTTTTTTCATTGGCGGTCTCGTAGGTTTGGGGAGCTATCGACATAATTAATGGAAAACTTTGAAGCTACATAAACAGGCGGGTGATTGTTTGGTGGAGGAGGTCAGGGGTCAGTTGAGGATTTGGACACGCAAATAGTTGAAGGAGGTCTGAGGAAAACGTTGTGAATATCATGGTGGGGTAATCTGCAGCACTCAGGGCGGTGGTGGTGGAGTTCGGGTCATGTAGGTACAGGATAATTAGGATTAGGTCTACACGGCTGGGAATGCGGTAGTGGCTGGGTGGTTAGCCACTGGTCAGTATGTATGGACGCTAGTACATTGAGAAGGGGGAGGGGAAGGGGGGAAGACGGAGGGAGGTCGATTTGGGTTGGAAGAGGTGAGGGTGGCGGTGGGTAGTTGTTTGGTTGGTTGAGTGGGTAGGGGTGGGTGTCGTCATTATATCCAGGTTGTGGTGGTGGTCTAAAGGTGACGGGGTACGAGGAAAGGGGTCACGGAGGGCATTTGGCGTTGAGCCAAGGAGTTGGTGATGCAGACCCTCGGCCGGACGTTGCGCGAGGAGGTGGCCGAGCGGTACTTACGAATCTGGACGAGTTGTTGTTACGGGTGGTCTTAGCATTGCCGTATGCCTCAAGCACGGGGTTAGCCTGCACGATTTGGTCCTCCAGAGTACCCTTTATAGTGAAGGGGGTGGCCCGAGGGGAATTGTGGAGGGTGTGGGTGGTTTGTGGGTGGTCGGGGTGATCAATGGATCATGGGGTGGCCACGATAGAGAGGGTAATAAAATCGAAAGTTGATGACAGTGTCTTGGAAAGTAATTATAGTGAACATTTTGTAGTTCTTCCCCTTGTTGCTGTTGTTGTTGTTGTTGTTGTTGTTGTTGTTGTTGTTGTTGTTGTTGTTGTTGCTGCTGCTGTTGTTGTTGTTGTCGTTGTTGTTTTAGTGAAGGAGTGTGGCTTTGTAAGTGGTTGTGGTGTTGATGGACAAAAGGAAGAAGGAGCAGTACTTTCAGTTTTGAACACGTCAAATTGCAAGATAGTAAAATGAAATCAATGAAAAAGAATGAAACCAAAAATGAAAATGAAAAGAAATATTTTGTTAATAACAGTCATGAAAACCATGATACGATATGGTAATGAGGACTCTGGGTTGGAAGATGACGATGAATTGAGAGAGAAACAGAAATATTATGAAAATCAATGGCTGTGAAAGACAGAGTGAACAAAGGAACATCCAATGGTAGTGAACGCGACATGTGTATATAACTTCATATGTAAAAGACAAGACAGCTCATGGCATAAAAACATTAAATTCATCCAACGAAATTGACAAAAAAGCATTATATACGTCAAAAGTATGGTACAAAATCATCATATTAACTCAAATTCACTTAAATCAAAACCAAAATAATAAATATTGACTATTGTATGTTACATTCTTAACCGTTCAAATACTCATAATACATTATTGGGCGTAAAGAGATAAAAGTTAAAGAGATTAACCATTTAACTTAAAACGATGTATAGATCTACTTGCAATAAGAGAAAATCAACTATAGTAACAAAATGAAATTCAACATAATATCGTTAATGACACGACAAACTGGCGTCAGTATGTTACAGGTGGGAAGGGGTTAAAGAAAGGTGTAGTCTTACTAAATTTTACAACAATAAGAATGATAATATTATATATAACTAGAAATGTAACGAGCAATTTAAACAATGAGAAAATAATCATCATGTTTGCTGAGAACTGTTAAAATGTAAGTGTACATGCATGTGAGTTTGAATGTGTGTATGTGTGAAAGTGTGTATGTTTATATTTGATCATGCTTGTTTGTGCGTGTCTGTACGTCTGAACGTATAATGTCAGTATTTCATTTGCCTTTCCTTGAAGAGACTGTATTCAATGATTCGGGAAAATGCGATACGAACATGCTGCTCTGTGCATGCATTATCAAAAAAAGTCCAAAAAGTTGTTTCGTTTAAACAAACTGAAATGTAGCGAATGCATGCATTAATGCAAACTGCGTGAACAGTAAATTTGCATAAGAATTCACTTCAGCTGTGAATGGTCCACAAATTTCTTATCTACAATTCTAATGTTGGAACGAAATCAATTAAGTTGAAGTTCATTCTACTCTTGGCCCTTAATGGACTTATTCTTTGTTGAAGAACATGTAATACGTAATACGAATAATATGTCTAACCATGCAGACGTAAAAGGGAGGGAGGGAGGAGGGAGGGAGGGAGGAGGAGGAGGAGGAGTGAACTAGGGGAGGGATCACTCTACACGCTGGGTGCGTGTCTACCTTCTTGGAGGCAGCGGCTTCCTCTTCTTTCTTCTGTTGACCGGCAGCAACATTAGCAAAGTACATGATTACTTTCTTCGTGTTCTCAGTCTTTCCGGCTCCGGACTCACCACTGTCGTAATGGATAAGGATATGGGCAAACCCCGTTAACAAACCAATCATTTGGGGATTTCAAAGAGGTTTGGTTTGGGGCTTTTTTTTCTTTCTCGCGTGCAGTTTACTGTTTATCCTGTGTATAATTTGAAAAGGGGGGAGTGGAGGTGTTTTTACTTTTAAGAGTATTATCAAAACCGTTGTTTCATTCACTTTGGGTTATTTCAAAAGTGAGACCAACGCTTTTTTTGTGTCTCATCCACGCTGGATAAAAACACTCTAATAAGCTTACTGTGACACAAAGGATAGCGTTGGGTTTACAGCTATTTTGTCGAGGAGGGGGGGTTGTTGTTGTTATTGTTGTTGTTGTTGTTGTTGTTGTTGTTGTTGTTGTTGTTGTTGTTGTTGTTGTTGTTTTTTGTTTACGTGTTTTTCTTTTAGCTTTTGAACTTAAATCCATTTCCTTGGACAAAGGAGAAACGTTTGACTTTTTGCCCTGTGGACTAAAATAACATCCTAAACCAAAATCATTTCACATAAATGAAACGATAACAACATTATGTGTATGCAAACAGTGCCACGAAACAAAGCCAGTGCGAGAATATGATAACAAGAGGTCAGCCGACAGGCTTGACGAGGCTGAAACAGGACGGAAAGCATCGAGCCAAAAGCTCCGATAACTTTGCATACACCACGAGACAACAAGGCATCGGAGGATGCACGAATACACAGACATTATAGCAATAATATGTATTTAATGTAGCGGAAACTCAGAATGGCTCTGCAATCGACAAAGCACTAATGTATACGAGATTTGAAAAGTTGTCTGAATGGTCTGGGGAGATTAATATTAAATGTAATTTCTTTCATATTTGTTTGCCAACTTAATGTTTCCTTTTTTCTTCAACTCCATATTTAAAAAGTATCAAATGTCATCATGAGAACGACCACTCAATATTAGTAACAAATAGATGTTTTGGTGGCTTGTGTATATTCAAGCGTATTTAACTGATGTCGAGTACAATTCTTGTTTTTGTTTCCTTTTCCTAAACCTCCAAAGTTTAGTCAAGTGATGGATTATAACAGTGCCGAAGCTTTGCAGAAGAAAAGCAATCAAAAGCAGTGCGCAACAAACGACCTTCCTAAGGTCAGATATAACTCTATAATAGAACTTTCGTTTCCCCCCCCAGAGTCATACTGTTGAATTACAGTACACAATAACTGAAGAAAGGATATTATCGTTATGTTAGGTAGAAGTGTCTCTTTACATTTCTCGTTTAGAGTTTAAATGTAAAATATTCTACTGATAAATGCGAGAATATGAATTCACTACCTTCATCTTTTTTCTTTCGTTCTTTCTTACTTTTATATAAATTGCCGGCCACCCCCGTTTTTTTCTCTAAGAAATGACAATCAAAACGACAACGATTAAAAAGAATGCGCGGGGGGGGGGAGGGGGGGTCTGGGAGTTGATTGTTCTTTACTGGTCTAATACGGATTTCTAATCCATTCTTTTAACATCAGTGTAATTTCGAAATTGTCTATTGGTATATTATAATAAATAAATTAAATGCAGATAGAAATCAGGCAGCAGAGTAATAATTATTTGACAGGCCCGTCGTGCCATCCTGTGAAAAGCACTCCAAGTCCATAGAGTACGACAAACCTGTGCTCAAGACGAAAAAGATTCTTACACTTACATATGGCAGTTTTCTATCTGTATTTTTGTCCCTGGTTAAATCTGCCGCCACGTTGGCGAAGTATTGTATCACCTTTTTCGTACTTTCTGTTTTGCCAGCTCCTGATTCGCCGCTGTTTGAGAGAGTGATTCGAGAATGGAGGGATAGAAAAGAATCGTCCTCTTTCACTCATATTATGTTAGAAATATTATCGTCAAGCACCGACTCAGATTGTTGTATTTTTAATCTAATATGTACAGTCGTATTTATACAATTAAGGACTTAACCGTTTTGTTGTTCATTTTGATATTAAGTACTCCAGACGTGTTGAAAGCTGAATCTCCAAAAAAGACGAGATAGTCAGGAACGATTTTGAAGGAGACAAAGTCTTTTACATTGTCAGCCTGCTGAAGAGGGGGTGAAGAACAGAGGGTGTGTCATTTTTTGTTTTAAGGAGTGTTGGAAATGTTGGGGTAATCATTCGAACCGAAACGACTTAAAACAACGAAAACAGACGTATTTTCACATGATATATTCGCTTCATCGTAATTTTATTTTGGAGTAAAGGGACCATACTCACGTAATCAACATAGACTGGTTCTCGCGATCTGGAGAAAGACAAGAATAAATATGGTGGAGTTAGTTGGGAGTTAACAATTTTTCTGTAGTGAACTAGTATGCACAAACAGAGAAGCAAATAGGGGACCCAACCATATATACATTATTACAATTCCTTAAAATTATCTTTCTTTTTTTCAAATCTCCAATCCGTCTACGCTCTCACTTCGTCTCTGTCTCTGTCCATGTCTGTCTGTCAGCCTATCTGTTTGTCTGTCCTTCTGTCTGATTCTCTCTCTCTCTCTCTCTCTCTCTCTCTCTCTCTCTCTCTCTCTCTGTCTTTGCACCCCCCCTCTAATTCTCTCTCCCTCTCTGTTCTCTTCTTGTTTTCCTTCCATTGCTCCCTTTCCTTTTTATAGCTTCTAAGAGCTTTCTATTTGTTTTTACTGTACACCTAAAGCGGTACGGTTGTTGATAGCTTATAATCTTGGAGCAAAATCGGATAGACATCCTGGCGCTTTCCAACCCTTGGCAGAGAGTCC